TGGTGTTCAACCTTCCCAAGTTCTCTCATGTCACCCCGCTCCTCCGCACACTCCACTGGCTTCCAGTTGAGGCTCGCATCTACTACAAGACCATTGTGCTTGCCTACGGAGCTGTGAGAGGAACGACACCTCCTTACCTTCAGGCTCTGATCCTACACCCAAACGAGGGCACTACGTTCATCCACCTCTGGCCTGCTAGCCCCCCTACCTCTACGGAAGCACAGTTCCCGCTAAGCCCAGTCAAAGCTATTCGCTGCTCTGGCACCCCAATGGTGGAACAAGCTCCCCCACGATGCCAGGACAGCGGAGTCACTGACCACCTTCCGGAGACACTTGAAACCCTACCTCTTTAAGGAATACCTGGAATAGTATAAAAGTAATCCTTCTACCCCCCCTCCCCCACTCCCCCATAAAAAAAACTTGGCTATCATAAGTTGAATGCACCCATTTGTAAGTCGCTCTGGATAAGAGCGTCTGCTAAATGACGTAAATGTAAAAATAAAACATTTCAAAAAAAGGCTCAGTGTTGTTATCCTCGCAAGGGAGGGTGCTGGAATATTAAAGACAGGGGAGCCAGTAATTTGTACCCCTATATTTTTTTGCTTTTTTTTGTATTACTTGTTCAACAAAATATATTTATCTGGGCAATTGTATTTGTATAAAATAATGATAATACAAATGTAGCATACAATATACATCAGTATTTGTATTATTTATTTCATACAGTCTTTTTTGCTCATCTTTATGAAGGGATCCAATCATTTTGGACTCTGTATCTCAACCCACAACTGAAATAGCAATAATTTATGTATTACTTTAAACTGTTGGTCTAACTCTAACAGTTCAGAAAGTCACCACCAAACCCCTTCTTTAACTACATTTAAATGTCATAACCCATTATTCTTATTTGTGTACTCATCATCACGCTTGGCATGTAATTTTTGTGTCGTCATTTTTTTGTAGAACGACTTAGAGAAACTGAGTTGAGCCTTCTTGAGAAAGTGAGTCCCCCCCCGCAAGTTACGCACAATCATAAATGGCAAAACAGACAAAAAATGTAATCATAAGGAATAAGGTTTTAAAGTGTCTGTCCTATAACTAAGAGACACATATTTGTTGGCACAAAAAATACTTCCATTCATTTTTTAAATCGGTACCGGGTTACCTTCAGTCTTGGCCTTTGACCATGTTCGTGAGAGTCTTCCCTTTCCATAGAGTGGTTGTATTAGTTTTTGTAGGCCAAACCGTTCGGAATCTACAGATGTTTTCGTGAGAAGACTGATTTTCAGGATGTCTGCTGGTCTGCCACTTTCCACCGCAGATGCAGAAGGCTTTTGACGGGTGCGTCAATCGACTCTTAAGGATTTAGGCAGGTATTAAGATTTTCAAATTCAATTTCAAATCATCTGGTCATGTTCCTCAGAAAGCTAGGCAGCCTGTAGTCTCTTGCCTCCGTACCTCACTAGGGACAGGCAGGGGGAGGCAGACTGCTGTTGTCTCTAAGAGCAGGCCCAGAGAGAGCACACCTGACCTCAAACAGCAGTCTCAGGGGCCTCAGAGGAGAGCAAGCTCTCATAGGCCACCTGCACCTGCAGCCAAGGGTCAAAAGGTCAAGGTAGATAATACAGCAGAGCCAGTAATAATGCTTACATTACATGAGTTAATAGTCATAATTACTTTAAAATAATAGATACACTTGCAGGATGTACTGTATCAACTGTAAATATATACTATGGGGCCTATTCAATCAAACATGGATATTGATTTTCCAGGATAAGCCAAAACATCATTGTTTTTGTGCTGCAAAAAAATGTTTCTAAGATCTAGGTACCTGTTACCTTGATCTAAAATGTTTATTTGTGAACAGCAGAAGGAGAGTTAGGATAGGACTCCCAAGAAGACAGCCACAGAGGAGAGAGTCCAGCCACAACCCCAGTCCTGTACCTGACAGAAGACCCAGCACTGTACCCATTACAGTAGATTACCCAGCCCTGTGGCCATCCCACACCCCAGCCACACCCTTACCTCAGGTAAAGCACCCGTCATAGCTCACACTGACTCAGGAAACGTAGTGACCTAGGTATGTATAACAACACATTGTACTTTGCATCACAGGAAGAGTTTGATGCATGGAGGACAAGTGTCCAGTAGAGGAATAGTGATAGTCCCGATAGACTCATCCAGTGAGGAGGAAGAGGGACAGGGAGACACTTGGAGAAGCTAAGGATGGATGGAGTAGAGAGGACGAGGTAGAGAGAGTTGAAGAAGAATGTGATGGGAGGAATGAACATGGGGTTACGGTAGAGGAGGAAATTGATGGGAGTGACAGAAGATGACAAGGTATATGGAAAACCTGAGGAAGCATTGGAGGAAGAGGAAGTACAAGAGGAAGAATGGAAAGGGGAGGATATGTCTTACAATGGTGATGAGGAAGAGAGGGGAAAAGGTAAAGAGTAGGATGGGAGACTTAGGGGAGAGGGAGAGACAGAAGAAAGGCCCAAAGATGGAGTGAAGAGAGAGAACAGATCAGATGATGAAACAAGAGCGTTGACAGCAGAGGGGGAAGAAACTTGGAGCACAGAGCTTTACCCTGATTTAAGTTCACAAACTTTTGAAAGTAGATAGATTCAGTCAAACCATTCATGTTTACAATTCAAAACCAAAACAGTCACACTCCAGTGAAATACTTTAGCGGAGAATGTCATGGGATGTGAAGCATTTCTTGGGAATTGTATGCATGATATGTTTCAGTGCAGTGTTTACTTCGCATAATGAAAGGCTTAACAGCAGAGAGGGAGAATGATTAATCCTTTCCATGGTGCTGTTAATGGCTCAATAAAACTATTTTCACAATCCAGTAAACAATGCATGGTTTACACCAGGGCTCTCCAATCCTGTTCCTGGACAGCTATCCTCCTGTAGGTTTTCGCTCCAAACCCAGTTGTAACTAACCTGATTAATCTTATCAACCAGATAATTATTAGAATCAGATGCGCTAGATTAGGGTTGGAGCGAACACCTACAGGACGGTAGTTCTCCAGGTACAGGGTTGGAGAGCCCTGGTTTACACTATAAAATGACTAATCACGCTAGACAAGCACTTCATCTGTAACATTGAAACAAATGACAAAACTTAGTGTACATTTTCAAAAAGGCTATCATAGAATGAACAACTATTTATCATGATCTTTATTATGTTGGATTATATATGAGATGTGTTTTCTGTTTTCCTCCAGAGTGCTGGCTTTTCCTCTGTCCTAGACCTAGAGTCAGATTACAGTTACCCACATCTTACAGTCAGCAGAGGTACAGTAAGCTTCATAACATGACCCATATTCATGGTATTACCTCTGTCCATCATTTAACACTAAAGTATGAATTTGGTATTAGGCAGTAGTATCAGGTACCTGAGTACCTCTGGAGAGTCTTTACTCCCATCCATCACAGACATGGAGAAGTCCACACATCCACGTGAGTGAAGGCAGTATTACCTCAGACAATTAACTCATACAGGGGGCCAGTATGAAAAAATAAATGTATGAACTCACTAACTGTAAGTCACTCTGGATAAGAGCGTCTGCTAAATTACTAAAATGTAAAATGTAATACAGGGCTTATTGCATGTCATATAGTCCATATGTACATTCCCTTCACTCCCTCCAACGCTACAACTTTCTTGTCTTCTCTCTAGTGACAGATTATCAGTTGTCCTCCTCCTTGGTGAAGGTCAATACAGACAAACATGGGTAACACTTTATAATAAAGTTAATAAACAATTTATTAGGCATTCACAGTTCTCACCAAATGTTAGTAAGCTAGTTATTTACACATAAAAACTTTTAAATGACGTATTAATGATTCGTAACGTAAGATAATTTATAAGATGTTTAATATAGGTCCTTATAAACCATTTACTCATCATTAGCAGTCTTTTTGCAGTCCCTAATGTAAATAATTGTATCTACAGTGCATTTAATATCGCAACACACTCCATAAAGTAGACAAAATATAGACACATTAATATAGGAAATAACATTCATTTTAAATGAACAGGATAAAAAGCTAATATAAAACAGTAAAATCAAAGAGCAATAAAATGATTTGCAGAAGGCCAGGATAAAAAGGTGTGTTTGATCTACAAAACTCAATGGTATTGTAGATACCCCTACTTGCAGTCTCCATCAAATAATAAACACAGAAAGTGCACTTCTGTAAGGTAAAATGTTATTTACATTGTATTCAATAGATTTACAACCCCTCCTTGTGTCAAGCAATTCTAATCAGTATCCGAGATTTAAGGAACTTTTATGGTAAGGTGGAATGGAACATAACTTGACAAAAAGTATGACAGTCTACTAAACACTTTATTTTCCAAAGTATAATGTATTATGAGAAAACAAAAATCAAATACCAAACAAATCAAAAATAACTAAATCCACTTTTATTTACAAAGCATTTTTGCAGTTTGGGTTGAGTACTTCCTTATGGAGCGTCAGTGCTCAACACTTGCAATATCAAACCGTGCAACCTGTTTGGTCATTCCTGTTATGGACTGTCTAGAATCAGGGCTCTCCAACCCTGTTCATGGAGAGCTGCCGTCCTGTAGGTTTTTGATCCAACCCTAATCTAGCTCACCTGATTCTAATAATTAGCTGGTTGATAAGCTGAATCAGGTTGTACAACTGGGGTAGAAGAGAAAACCTACAGGAAGGAAGCTCTCCAGGAACAGGGTTAGAGAGCCCTGGTCTAGAACTTCAACCAGGTAGACCATATCCACCTGAGACTGCCCCAAAAAAATTGTTTTAGTGAACACAATAATTAACATCATAGTGTAAACATAGCTTCATACAACACAATAGGGCTGCGTTAAGACAGGCAGCCAAATTCTGATCTTTTTTTCGGTCTTTTGACTAACCAGATCAGCTCTGAAAGAATATCTGTGAATAGATCTGATGTGATTGGTCAAAAGACCAATTAGGGGAAAAGATATCAGAATTGGGCTGCCTGTGTAAACGCAGCCTATGGTACATTTATACATTGCTTTATACACCAACTGGAAACAAATAGAATGGGAACAAAAGCACCCACTATACCACCGATAATTCCCCTTAGGCTTTGCTGTGATAACTATGTACAAACGTAATGATTTTCATTGTGATGAGCAATGATACAGCGCTGAACCGATAACTGACTCTGCCTATCCCCTCTTCCCAAGGCAAAAAAAACAGTATTTTTCTCAAAGTTTTCACAGTTCAAGCATTAGAATGAAGATCCAGAGATCCCCACTTTTCCAAATCCACACCTCAACTAGTTGATTATTGTGGCAGCTGCAGTGCAGAGGATTGCCATCTTCTTTTGTCAAGCTTGGTCTATGAAGCCTTTTGTGCCCTCTCCTCCACGTACAGTTGCATCTAAACAAAGAAAATATGTTGTTACATACATATTATACACAACATGAAATCATTCACATTTAAACAATATTACTGTTTATTACTATGGGCTTTCATACAAGTGTTGTAATCTTCACAAAGAACCATGCCATTGCTTACTTTCACAATGTCTGATGTCATGGTCTTCAGGGGTATGAGTCTGGGCTCCTGCATGTGTACTTCCTGCTCATCTGCAACTATCCACGGAAAATCCTGGAGAGGAACATGACAACATCACATGTGGAGTATAGGCCCACACACTAGAATACAACAGATATGATTGAATGTAGGTACACAAACAAGTCAGTGTATTACAATCAACACACATACAGTATTGAAATGTCATGTTTGTGACAACACTGACCTTGATGACCTGCACCTTCTCCATGTTGCGCGTGGCAGCCTCCCTGGTGTGGACCAGCACTGTAAACGTACATCCTGGGAAAGTGGAGAGTAAATAGACGTATAAGTATACTATGACCGCTGCTGGACAACAAGTTAACAGAAATGGTATACTGTATGTATAATGTGTATTTTTATATTGTATTATACAGGGCACATTTGGACAAGAGACCTAGGTCTCAATATGACTTCTCTGTCAAAACAAAGGTAAAATAAAACATAATAAAACATAAAAAACCTAGTTATTCCTTGTCATGGACTCCACAAGAGAATTAGTGGGAACGCAAGACTTATATAGCAGCAGACCTCCAGCTATCGATTTTCACACAGAGATGTTTCTTACTGAGTGTCTCTCCATTCTCCAATATAGCTTTTCTATCTTACCTGGTGGGTTGTTTTCCAGAACTGCATCACATACACTGATCTTCAGGATAACCGCCCTCAGTAACTGTTCCACGTGTGACAGCAATGTATCAGAGCTGTAGAACATGAAAACAGAGAGTAACTCTGGGTAAAGCTCTGGAAAAGCTCAAGGTATCGAAAAGGCTATTCCAACAACAAACCATATGAAATAAATAAAATTGTATTTGTCACATGTGCCGAATACAACAGCCTCGAAATGCTTAATTACGAGCACATAAAAAGTAAGACAATTTGAGAAAAAAAAACTACAAGGAAATAGTAACACAATAAAATAACAAGGCTATATACAAGGAGTAACGGTACCAAGTCAATGTGTTTGGGGTACGAGGTAATACGTACACTACATTTTACATTTTAGTCATTTAGCAGACGCTCTTATCCAGAGCGACTTACAGTTAGTGAGTGCATACATTATTAATTTTTTCATACCCACAACCATGGCATTGCAAATGCCATGCTCTACCAACTGAGCTACATCCCTGCCAGCCATTCCATCCCCTACCCTGGACGACGCTGGGCCAATTGCGCGACCCGTGGGTCTCCCGGTCGCGGCCGGCTACGACAGAGCCTGGATTCGAACCAGGATCTCTAGTGGCACAGCTAGCACTGCGATGCAGTGCCTTAGACCACTGCGCCACTCGGGGTCTCCCACTCCTCTTTCTATTCTAGTTAGAACCAGTTTGCGCTGTTCTGTGAAGGGAGTAGTACACAGCGTTGTACGAGATCTTCAGTTTCTTGGCAATTTCTCGCATGGAATAGCCTTCATTTCTCAGAACAAGAATAGACTGACGAGTTTCAGAAGATAGTTATTTGTTTCTGGCCATTTTGAGCCTGTAATCGAACCCACAATTGCTGATGCTCCAGATACTCAACTAGTCTCAAGAAGGCCAGTTTTATTGCTTCTTTAAATCAGCACAACAGTTTTCAGCTGTGCTAACATAATTGCAAAAGGGTTTTCTAATGATCAATTAGCCTTTTAAAATGATAAACTTGGATTAGCAAACACAACGTGCCATTGGAACACAGGACTGATGGTTGCTGATAATGGGCCTCTGTACGCCTATGTAGATATTCCATAACAAATCAGCCGTTTCCAGCTACAATAGCCATTTACAACATTAACAATGTCTACACTGTATTTCTGATCAATTTGATGTTATTTTAATGGACAAAAAAAATTGCTTTTCTTTCGAAAACAAGGACATTTCTAAGTGACCCCAAATTATTGAACGGTAGTGTACATGTAGGTAGGGGTAAAAGTGACTAGGCAATCAGGATAGATAATAAACAGAGTAGCAGCAGCGTATGTGAAGAGTGTGAAAGTGTGTCTATGTGTGAGTGTGTGTGTGGCGTCAATATGCGTGTGTGTGTGTGTTTTGTGTGTGTGAGCGTATGTAGTGCGTATGTGTGTGTTGGAGTGTCAGTGTAGTATGTGTGAGTGTGTGGGTAGATTCCAGTGAGTGTGCATAGAGCCAGTGTAATAGAGTCAGTGCAACAAAAAAAGGGGGGGTCAATGCAAATAGTCCAGGTAACCATTTGATTAACTGTTCAACAGTCTTATGGCTTGGGGTTAGAAGCTATTCAGGAGCCTTTTGGTGCCAGACTTGGCGCTCCGGTACCAGGCATCTGACACTGCCTGGTATAGAGGTCCTGGATGGTGATGTACTGGGCCGTACGCACTACCCTCTGTAGCGTATTACGGTCGGATGCCAAGCAGTTGCCATACCAAGCAGTGATGCAGCCAGTGAAGATGCTCTCAGTGGTGCAGCTGTATAACATTTTGAGGATGGGCCCATGCCAAATATTTTCAGCCTTCTGAGGGGGAAGAGGTGTTGTCATGCCCTCTTCACAACTGTGTTGGTGTGTTTGGATCATGATAGGTCCTTAGTGATGTGGACACCAAGGAACTTGAAGCTCTCCACTACAGCCCTGTCGATGTGAATGGGGGCGTGCTCGGTCCTCCATTTCCTGTAGTCAATGATCAGCTCCTTTGTCTTGCTGACGTTGAGGGAGAGGTTGTTGTACTGACACCACACTGCCAGGTATCTGACCTCCTCCCTGTAGGCTGTCTCATTATCGTCGGTGATCAGGCCTACCACCGACGTATCGTCTGCAAACTGAATGATGGTGTTGGAGTCGTGCGAGGCCACGCAGTCGTGGGTGAACAGGGAGTACAGGAGAGGACTAAGCACGCACCCCTGAGGGGCCCCCGTGTTCATGGTCAGCATGGTTTTTGTGTTGTTGTCTACCCTCACCACCTGGGGGCTACGCGTCAGGGGCTGCCCGTCCAGGTGCAGAGGGAGATGTTCTGTCCCAGGGGTCCTGAGCTTAGTGATGAGCTTAAAGGGGAACTATGGGGATGAACGTGATGAGTTGTAGTCAATGAACAGCATTCTCACGTAGGTGTTCCTTTTGTCCAGGTGGGAAAGGGCAATGTGGAGTGCAATAGAGATTGCGTCATTTGTGGATCTGTTAGGGCGGTATGCGAATTGGAGTGGGTTTAGGGTGATGGTGTTGATGTGAGCCATGACCAGCCTTTCAAAGTATTTCATGGCTACAGTGCTACTGTGCAATAGTGATTTAGACAGGTTACCTTGGCGTTCTTGGGCACAGGGACTATGGTGGTCTGCTTGAAGATTGCAGGTATTACACACTAGGGTTGTCATGATGCCAGTATTGCAATACTACGATACCTGATTTTCCATGGCAAAAAGGAAAACACAAAGCAGACTAAACGCTTTGGTACTTTAAAAAACCTACTGTACGTAAAATATTGTGTGCTATAGGTTGGAAAATAAATGTGATTGTGGGTGACAACATAAAGCTTTCCAACATTAGGACTGTTTTCCTCAGGTAATTCAGTCCGCTTCATGTTTTGTTTCCTTGCCATGATACATTTGGGTATCGCGATACTGGTATCGTGAAAACCCTATTACAGACTGGGTCAGAGAAGTTGAAAATGTCAGTGAAGATATATACTGACCTGATGGATAAAATAGGAGGCTGTGAAATCTCAAAGACAAATCTCTCAACTGGATGATGCTCTTTGTCCATGATGACCACCACCACTTTTTCTGCATCATTCTGAGGGAGCAATGTAGAACTTCATACTAGTAATATGTACTCAAAAAAGGTGTGCCCTCATGCAATAACATATTTAGCATGGTCAGCCATTGGGTTTGCAAGACTATGTCAATTATATGTAGGCTAATGTATTCTCTCACCTTCTCAATGAGGGGTTTTACACAGTGAAGAGTATCATGGATGTATTGGTTCAGCTCTGGATGGCATGACATCTAGAAGGTAACGCAACATGAAAGATGGAGATTCTGCAGATAACCGTTAATAGAAGCTGAATGGTTATTACACTGGTGATATGATAACCTTACCTGTACAGGTACATTGTATTTATTTCTCTTCTGGAATATCCCAGATGGGTACACCTCTCGTACATAGAGGATGAGATGAATAGCCACTTCCAAAAACTCGCACAAGATGTCAGCCACCACTGCAAAAGAAGACAGGCAGTAACGAAGCTTGAGTCTATATGAAAATTAAACTGCTCAATTGAAATGCATATTTTACAGGTCGATGTAAAATAATTTATATAGCTAGCTACCTTGTCCAAAATTGAGGTCTTGTCTTGTTAGGGTTGTCATTTTCTGGTCGCTGAGGGATGAGAACACAAATAATGTCGAAAGATATGAGGCCACCTAACGAACGTTTCAAACGTCAAAAAGGGAGTTGATAAGACAACTAACGTTAGCTAGGAAAAATCGCGGACATGGAGCAATTCAACCTCTGAAAAACGTAAGACTGTCGTTTGTATATCTGTTCGGAATTTAATCATAATATACAGCAAAGAGTCTAATAATACCTGCAACGTCTGTATATTTGTTTACATCCACTGCTTCTTGTCGTCGCTTGGTTATGACGTTTACATGGCGCACGCCAATAATTTACATATACACACTAGATGACTGGAAGTGTGCGCTGTGTTGAATCAAATACGTTATTTGTGGTTGAATCCTCCATTCCTCCATCTTGGCACTCCCCCACCGTTGTAAAAAAATATTTTGGAAGCTATAGAATGCCTTTATTAATGTCTACATTCGTATAGCCAGATTTATTCTATTACAGATCCCTTAATGCATACCTTAAAATTATAGTATGTAAGCTAAACAAACACACATATATATATATATATATATATATATATATATATATATATATATATATATATATATATATATATATACTACTGTTCAAAAGTATGGGGTCACTTAGAAATGTCCTTGTTTTCAAAAGAAAAGCAACTTTTTTGTCCATTAAAATAACATCAAATTGATCAGAAATACAGTGTAGACATTGTTAATATTGTAAATGGCTATTGTAGCTGGAAATGGCTGATTTTTTATGGAATATCTACATAGGCGTACAGAGGCCCATTATCAGCAACCATCAGTCCTATGTTCCAATGGCACGTTGTGTTTGCTAATCCAACCGGGGCCTCCCACTCCTCTTTCTATTCTGGTTAGAGCCAGTTTGCGCTGTTCTGTGAAGGGAGTAGTACACAGCGTTGTACGAGATCTTCAGTTTCTTGGCAATTTCTCGCATGGAATAGCCTTCATGTCTCAGAACAAGAATAGACTGACGAGTTTCAGAAGAAAGTTCTTTGTTTCTGGACATTTTGAGGCTGTAATCGAACCCACAATTGCTGATGCTCCAGATATTCAACTAGTCTCAAGAAGGCCAGTTTATTGCTTCTTTAATCAGCAAAACTGTTTTCAGCTGTGCTAACATAATTGCAAAAGGGTTTTCTAATAATCAATTAGCCTTTTAGAATGATAAACTTGGATTAGCAAACACAACGTGCCATTGGAACACAGGACTGATGGTTGCTGATAATGGGCCTCTGTACGCCTATGTAGATATTCCATAAAAAATCAGCCGTTTCCAGCTACAATAGCCATTTACAACATTAACAATGTCTACACTGTATTTCTGATCAATTTGATGTTATTTTAATGGACAAAAAAATTGCTTTTCTTTTGAAAACAAGGACATTTCTAAGTGGCCCCAAACTTTTCAACGGTAGTGTATATATATATACAGTTGAAGTCGAAAGTTTACATACACCTTAGCCAAATACATTTAAACTCAGTTTTTCACAATTCCTGACATTTAATCCTAGTAAAAATTCCCTGTCTTAGGTCAGTTAGGATCACCACTTTATTTTAAGAATGTGAAATGTCAGAATAATAGTAGAGAGAATGATTTATTTCAGCTTGTATTTCTTTCATCACATTCCCAGTGGGTCAGAAGTTTACATACACTCAATTAGTATTTGGTAGCATTGCCTTTAAATTGTTTAACTTGGGTCAAATGTTTCGGGTAACCTTCCACAAGCTTCCCACAATAAATGGGTGAATTTTGGCCCATTCCTCCTGACAGAGCTGGTGTAACTGAGTCAGGTTTGTAGGCCTCCTTGCTCGCACACGCTTTTTCAGTTCTGCCCACACATTTTCTATAGGAATGATGTCAGGGCTTTGTGATGGCCACTCCAATACCTTGACTTTGTTGTCCTTAAGCCATTTTGCCACAACTTTGGAAGTATGCTTGGGGTCATTGTCCATTTGGAAGACCCATTTGCGACCAAGCTTTAACTTCCTGACTGATGTCTTGAGATGTTGCATCAATATATTCACATAATTTTCCTTCCTCATGATGCCATCTATTATGTGAAGTGCACGGGTCTCTCCTGCAGCAAAGCACCCCCACAGCTCGATGCTGCCACCCCGAGCTTCATGGTTGGGATGGTGTTCTTCGGCTTGCAAGCCTACCCCTTTTTCCTCCAAACATAACGATGGTCATTATGGCCAAACAGTTCTATTTTTGTTTAATCAGACCAGAGGACATTTCTCCAAAAAGTACGATCTTTGTCCCCATGTGCTTTTGCAAACCGTAGTCTGACTTTTTCATGGCGGTTTTGGAGCAGTGTCTTCTTCCTTGCTGAGCTGCCTTTCAGGTTATGTTGATATAGGACTCGTTTTACTGTGGATATAGATACTTTTGTACCTGTTTCCTTCAGCATCTTCACAAGGTCCACAAGGCTGTTGTTCTGGGATTGATTTGCACTTTTCGCACCAAAGTACGTTCATTTCTAGGAGACAGAACGCGTCTCCTTCCTGAGCGGTATGATGGCTGCGTGGTCCATGGTGTTTATACTTGCGTACTATTGTTTGTACAGATGAACGTGGTACCTTCAGGCATTTGGAAATTGCTCCCAAGGATGAACCAGACTTGTGGAGGTCTACAATTCTTTTTCTGAGGTTTTGGCTGATTTCTTTTGATTTTCCCATGATGTCAAGCAATGAGGCACTGAGTTTGAAGGTAGGCCTTGACATACATCCACAGGTACACCTCCAATTGACTCAAATGATGTCAATTAGCCTATCAGAAGCTTCTAAAGCCATTACATCATTTTCTGGAATTTTCTGTTCTGGCCATTATTATGAGCCATTCTCCCCTCAGCAGCCTCCACTGAAAAAATTTTTTTAAACCAGTTTTTGCTTTGTCATTATGGGGTATTGTGTGTAGATTGATGACGGAAAAAACAATGTAATCCATTTTAGAATAAAGAATGTTCACCAGAGCTGTTGCCAGATAATTTATTGTACATTTCTCTACTATAAGCCACCTCCAACATCATTTTAGAGAATTTGGCAGTATGTCCAACCGGCATCACAACCGCAGACCATGTATTTGGCGTTGTATGGGTGAGCGGTTTTCTGATGTCAACGTTGTGAACAGAGTGCCCCATGGTGGCGGTGGGGTTATGGTATGGGCAGGCATAAGCTACGGACAACGAACACAATTGCATTTTATCGATGGACATTTTAATGTACATAGATCCCGTGACGAGATCCTGAGGCCCATTGTCGTGCCATTCATCCGCCACCATCTCATGTTTCAGCATGATAATGCACGTCCCAATGTCGCAAAGATCTGTACACAATTCCTGGAAGCTGAAAATGTCCCAGTTCTTCCATGGCCTGCATACTTACCAGACATGTCACCCATTGATTATGTTTGGGATGCTCTGGATCGACGTGTACGACAGTGTGTTCCAGTTCTCGCCAATATCCAGAAACTTCACACAGCCATTGAAGAGGAGTGGGACAACATTCCACAGGCCACAATCAACAGCCTGATCAACTCTATGTGAAGGAGATGTGTCGCGCTGGATGAGGTAAATGGTGGTCACCACAGATACTGACTGGCTTTCTGATCCACACCCCTACCTTTTTTTTAAGGTATCTGTGACCAACAGATGCATATCTGTATTCCCAGTCATGTGAAATCCATAGATTAGGGCCTAATTAATTTATATAAATCGACTGATTTCCTTATATGAACTGTAACTCAGTAAGATCTTTGAAAATGTTGCATGTTGCGTTTATATTTTTGTTCAGTGTATATATATAAAAAAACATTTTCATTAAAGTATACTTTTTTGAGATTATTGTTACTGTCCCCACCACAAAAACATATATACTTAAATATATGTAATTTTGTCCTTGAAACATTTAATTGAAATACTGTATAATTCCATTCATTCCTATGGAGGACTGCTCCTACTGGGGAATGCCAATATGGCCGACCAGTTGCTTCAAAGCCTCTCAATGGCCAATATATAGCATCAGCCATCCAGGGTTTATATTCATCATTAGCACACAAAAATAGCCAATGCAGCCACATGGCTACACTTTTGAGCTCCATGGGGGCATTCACATGTGGTAGAGAGAATCCTCTGGTCACCTATAGAGACCTGCCAAGAGGATGGATGTTAAGTGCCACATGCCTTTCAATGCATACCTTTGAACACCTTGAAATTAATTAGTTGTAAGAAATGTGCTATATAAATAAAGTTTGATTTGATTGATGACATTACAGCTGTAGAATATTTAATAAACTGTAATTGTGCAGTTTTTCCATAAACTTTTAATTGATAACTTGGGATTTTATCACTTGACATATACATCATATAGTGGGAAGGATCCTACAAATCAAGACTGTGTGAATGCATGTACTACTCCGAATAAATAAATACTGTTGTCTCTGGTCATAAAACTACAATACAGGCTGGATGTCTAAACAAAGTCAATTCTGAATGTCAATAGATTTTTAGATTCATTATCATCAATGACAACATTCTAGAACTGAGTTATCACTCATCTAAGTCTGGTATCCGGGGTAATCTGGTTAATGATTATATAATTGATTAAGTGGCTCTTTCCTGTTGACAGCAGTATAGAACACATTGTACTGCTAAGACGCTCAAACTTAACTTAATAGCTACACTTACCGACACAGGATAAACTTTATCCCTCATGCTGGCCCTGACCAAACCGGTAAATTGCCCCTCACTATAGCTGCACTTCTCCACATGGCCAGACTTATAGTGGTCTTCTCCCCTTTTAATGCTCTTATGCTCATCCTTGAAAAATGCATAAGGTCTGAAATAGACACCAAAGTCGACATACTGTACAAACAATTATCTTGGCTAAGTAAAACAAAAATACTGTTTGATCTACTGCTCCGCAAACTAGCTAGCTAAAGTGTAGTCAGTGGCTAGCTACAGTGAGGGAAAAAAGTATTTCATCTATTGCTGATTTTGTACGTTTGCCCACTGACAAAGAAATGATCAGTCTATAATTTTAATGGTAGGTTAATTTGAACAGTGAGAGACAGAATAACAACAACAAAATCCAGAAAAACGCATGTCAAAAATGTTAAAAATTGATTTGCATTTTAATGAGGAAAATAAGTATTTGACCCCCTCTCAATCAGAAAGATTTCTGGCTCCCAGCTGTCTTTTATACTGGTAACGAGCTAATCTCAGCTTGTTACCTGTATAAAAGACACCTGTCCACAGAAGCAATCAATCAATCAGATTCCAAACTCTCCACCTTGGCCAAGACCAAAGAGCTCTCGAAGGATGTCAGGTACAAGATTGTAGACCTACACAAGGCTGGAATGGGCTACAAGACCATCGCCAAGCAGCTTGGTGAGAAGGTGACAACAGATGGTGCGATTATTCGCAAATGGAAGAAACACAAAAGACCTGTCAATCTCCCTCGGCCTGGGGCTCCATGCAAGATCTCACCTCGTGGAGTTGCAATGATCATGAGAACGGTGAGGAATCAGCCCAGAACTACATGGGAGGATATTGTCAATGATCTCAAGACAGCTGGGACCATAGTCACCAAGAAAACAATTGGTAACACACTACGCCGTGAAGGACTGAAATCCTGCAGCGCCCGCAAGGTCCCCCTGCTCAAGAAAGCACATATACAGGCCCGTCTGAAGTTTGCCAATGAACATCTGAATGATTCAGAGGAGAACTGGGTGAAAGTGTTGTGGTCAGATGAGACCAAAATCGAGCTCTTTGGCATCAACTCAACTCGCCATGTTTGGAGGAGGAGGAATGCTGCCTATGACCCCAAGAACACCATCCCCACTGTCAAACATGGAGGTGGAAACATTATGCTTTGGAGGTGTTTTTCTGCTAAGGGGACAGGACAACTTCACCGGATCAAAGGGACAATGGACGGCGCCATGTACCGTCAAATCTTGGGTGAGAACCTCCTTCCCTCAGCCAGGGCATTGAAAATGGGTCGTGGATGGATATTCCAGCATGACAATGACCCAAAACACACGGCCAAGGCAACAAAGGAGTGGCTCAAGAAGGAGCACATTAAGGTCCTGGAGTGGCCTAGCCAGTCTCCAGACCTTAATCTCATAGAAAATCTGTGGAGGGAGCTGAAGGTTCGAGTTGCCAAATGTCAGGCTCGAAACCTTAATTACTTGGAGAAGATCTGCAAAGAGGAGTGGGACAAAATCCCTCCTGAGATGTGTGAAAACCTGGTGGCAAACTACAAGAAACGTCTGACCTCTGTGATTGCCAACAAGGGTTTTGCCACCAAGTACTAAGTCATGTTTTGCAGAGGGGTCAAATACTTATTTCCCTCATTAAAATGCAAATTAATTTATAACATTTCTGACATGCGTTTCCTTGATTTTTTTGTTGTTATTCTGTCTCTCACTGTTCAAATAAACCTACCATTAAAATTATAGACAGATCATGTCTTTGTCAGAGGGCAAACGTACAAAATCAGCAGGGGATCAAATACTTTTTTCCCTCACTGTAAGACAGAGAAAGGGGACGGAAGAGGTTCAACTCTTTATTAAATTAATTTCAATGTAGCACATGGATTCATCATGGATTGGGCAAAGGTCTCTGATCGTGCTGGTGAATGGTAGCTGACAGTGTCGGCTAGAGATGACGTGCAGAAGCTTCCTGCCGGAATTTGTAGTCTTACTGAGGTTTTCTCCGTTGCTAATTAGCATTTCTTTTTTTTATGTGAGTAAATTGAGGCGAATATATTGATAAAACTCACTTTGCCTGAGAGAGAATTAAAACAGTTATCAAAACGTTACGCCAAGCTAAGCCTACATACTTAGTTTGAAGTGTTTGTAACATTCACTATGTGAAAAATGAATGGTGAAAAAACGAATCAAACCATTGTGTTTGACCGCTAGGTTTGATGTGTATTATGAGGCATCCACTGTGCCGGACTATTGGGACTGCTCTTATTATACCTCAGTGATTGGGACTATTGGTGCACACCAGTGGCGCACACATGCGTTGCAGTTCAAGAAATCAATCCGTCGATGACCTCGATTTAGAGGCATACAAAAAGGAATCTGTCAAAGAGTATCAATCCATCCTCTCTTCAGCTGTAGCCGGCTACATAAAAGTAGAATTGGAACAATTGGCCTACACTAAAAGTCTACAACAAAAGTTGAAAAAGCTAAACATAATTATGCCTAATGCTAAAAAGTTAATCCATCCAAGTTGCATGCTTCAGTAAACATATTGCATGGCATGGTGTTGATGAATGGATGTGATTTAGTGATCTTTTGTGCAATTATTGTCTGCTTGCAATGATGTCTGATGCATAGCCTTTGACTGACTTTATTTGTATTATGTGTGTAGTAACATGTGACATTTGCCCATGCAGTGCAATTGCACACTGTATTTTAAGATAACCAAAATAGGTAAATAAGACAGGGAAATGTATTGTAAACATATTTGTTTGTAATTGTTTTGTAAAAATTACACTTTAAAGTGAATTGAAACATTTTACACAGTTTATTTCTTCTAATTTTCACCCCAGGGCTACGAGTAAATATGTAATTGCCCAGCCTGGTCTCATAGACTAGACGTGACATAGAAAATGTAAATCTGTGACACTCAAATTAGTATGATATGTTACGTTTGGTATGGTTAGATAAGACAGAAGGTTACTTAAGGCAAAACCGGTGAGTGGGTGGGTGTATAACGTGAACGTCTAGCAACCCAAAGGTTGTGTGTTCAAATCTTATAACGGACAACTTCATCATTTTAACTAATTAGCAACTACTTACTCCCTTTCAGCTACTTTGCAACTACTTAGGATGTTCGCTAACCCTTACCCTAACCCTAACCTTAACCCTTTAACCTAACTCCTAACCCTAACCTTAACCCGGCTAACGTTAGTGACCTAGCTAACATTAGCGTTAGCCACCTTGCCACATAGCTAACATTAACAATAACAAATTGAATTCGTAACACATCATACGTTTTGGAAATTCGTAACATAATTTGTATTAATTGCAAATTGCAATTCATAACATATCATACGAATTGGATGACGGACATCCACAAATTAATACATACCATACGAAATGTAACATATACTATATATACAAAAGTATATCGACACCCCTTCAAATTAGTGGAATTGGCTATTTTAGCCACACCCCTTGCTGACAGGTGTATAAAATCGAGCACACCGCCATGCAATCTCCATAGACAGACATTGGCAGTAGAATGGCCTTACTGAACAGCTCAGTGACTTTCAACGTGGCAATTTTATAGGATGCCATCTTTCCAACAAGTCCGTTCGTAAAATTTCTGCCCTGCTAGAGCTGCCCGGGCCACTGTAAATGCTGTTATTGTGAAATGGAAACATCTAGGAGCAACAACAGCTCAGCCGGGAAGTGGTAGGCCACACAAGCTCACAGAACGGGACCGCCGAGTGCTGAAGTGCGTAGCGCATAAAAATTGTCTGTCCTCGGTTGCAACACTCAATACCGAGTTCCAAACTGCTTCTGGAAGCAATGTCAGCACAATAACTGTTCGTCGGGAGTTTCATGAAATGGGTTTCCATGGCCGAGCAGCCACACACAAGCCTAAAATCATCATGCGCAATGCCAAGCGTCGGCTGGAGGGTGAAAAGCTCTCCGCCTTTGGACTCTGGAGCAGTGGAATCACGCTTCAGTGGTTCTCTGGAGTGATGAATCACGCTTCATCATCTGGCAGTCGGACGTACAAATCTGTGTTTGGCGGATGCCAGGAGACCGCTTGCTGACCCAATGCCAACTTTGGTGGAGAAGGAATAATGGTCTGGGGCTGTTTTCCATGGTTTGTGCTAGGCCCCTTAGTTCCAGTGAAGGGAAATCTTAACACTACAGCATACAATGACATTCTAGATGATTCTGTGCTTCCAAATTTATGGCAACAGTTTGGGGAAGGACCTATCCTGTTTCAGCATGACAATGCCCCCGTGCACAAAGCAAGGTCCATACAGAAATGGTTTTTCAAGATCGGTGTGGAAGAACTTGACTGGCCTACACAGAGCCCTAACCTCAAACCTATAGAACACCTTTGGGATGAATTGGAACGCCGACTGCGAGCCAGGCCTAATCGCCCAACATCAGTGCCCGACCTCACTAATGCTCGTGGCTGAATGGAAGCAAGACCCTCCAGCAATGTTCCAACATCTAGTGGAAAGCCTTCCCAGAAGAGTGGAGGCTGTTACAGCAGCAAAGGGGGGACCAACTCCATATTAATGCCCATTATTTTGGAATGAGATCTTCGACGAGCAGGTGTCCACATCTTTTTGGTCATGTAGTGTATCATACCAATTGGAGTGTCCTGGATTTACGTTTACTATGTTGCGTCTACCCCTGAGTCCGGGTTAATGCTAGCCTGTTGAATTCTTTCCCTTTCCCTTTGAGATGTGAGTAATCCGTATGCAGGTATCGAGAAGGATAAAATAATTTGAATTGGGATTTTCATAATTGGAAAGAGCCATATAACTACTATCGCATAAACCTTATCAATGAATGCTGACCTTGATGAAGTCATGAACTTTGTTCAAGGCTTCATAATTATAGAGCACGAGGCACACTTTTTCAAGACAAGTCCTCGAGAGAGCACAGTGGTGAGTAGACTTCCAGTTATTTTCAGGTTCATTTGGGTGACTAACAATAGGAATCATTTCCAGCGGATAATTTGTTCATAGTTTGAGCAAGCTGATCAATGTCCCACAGCTCTAGCCAACTGTTTTGAGTTTTAATGTGTCATAGAAATACTTATTGAATGATACAATTACATATAATAAAATACAAATAATCCGATAATTTATTGAAATTTAAGTTGGCCTGAATGGGGGGGGGGGGCTGAATGGGTCTAAATTGATTGTGGTAAGACAATTGAAAGACATGTCAAAATGTCTTATGACACTGTTACCTATTCTATGTCCATATTGCGCAACTCCATCACTATCTTTCTCTTCACAGGTTGTTAAAGGAGTATTTGCAGTAGATAAAGTTCAGGGAAGAATGACTTCTGAAATGGACCCCAACACTGCTGGTGTTCAATACAACCGCTGGAATGAAGACAACATCAATCTGAATGTGGCTGGAACAGGTGTAACGGGGTAAGCTCTGAGAAACACTTACTTTACTTTCAATTAAGGTGTACCACGTTGAAATTAAATTCAGTGCAGATTGTTTTTCCTCCATTAAATCCTATTTGATTAACTTCTCCAAATTCTGACCTCTTGAGTTTACTGATAGTGTATGGAACTGACCCCAACAGTAATCACTGGCCATATTATTACATGACATGTTATGCTTCCCAAAGGCTCTACAACAGGGTCTGCACTGGCACCCTGGGCATAGTTATCAAGGTGGCCGGAGCTTTGGCTGCACTGGTGGCTGTTTACATCATAGGATACCTCATTGGATATTACGCCCACAAATGCTGACCAGCCACTGACCGAAGGACCCTTGTTCAGAGAAGAAGGACCCTCAATGGACGGAATTATGTTATGTACCAATTATAATTGGTTTTTAAATGACAAAATAGTGGTTGTATGAGAGGATCAAAGATTATTGGAGCCACACTTTCAATATTAGTCAAAATTTTGTTTCCTTTTTAGAAATGTTGGGATTGCAGTTTGCTTGTTGTAAAGTGATTTTACAGCTTCCCAACAGCTTTGTCTTATATGTGAAATTTCAGAGCAATTAAGTTAAAAAATATGAACAAAATGTTTGACTTACAGTTCATGGTATTCAATATGTTCATGTCAGTAAGTGAAGTTACATTGCCTTCAGTAAGTATTCATACCCCTTGACTTATTCCACATTTTATTGTGTTACAGCCTGAATTTAAAATGGTTTACATGTTATTTTTTTCTCACCCATCTACACACAATACCACATAATGACAAAGAGAAAACATGTTGAGAAGGTTTTGCAAATTTTTGGAAAATGAAATACAGAAAGATTTCATTTACATACACTACCGTTCAAAAGTTTGGGGTCACTTAGAAATGTCCTTGTTTTCGAAAGAAAAGCAATTTTTTGGTCCATTAAAATAACATCAAATTGATCAGAAATACAGTGTAGACATTGTTAATGTTGTAAATGGCTATTGTAGCTGGAAACGGCTGATTTTTTATGGAATATCTACATAGGCGTACAGAGGCCCATTATCAGCAACCATCAGTCCTGTGTTCCAATGGCACGTTGTGTTTGCTAATCCAAGTTTATAATTCTTAAAGGCTAATTGATCATTAGAAAACCCTTTTGCAATTATGTTAGCACAGCTGAAAACTGTTTAGCTGATTAAAGAAGCAATAAAACTGGCCTTCTTGAGACTAGTTGAGTATCTGGAGCATCAGCAATTGTGGGTTCGATTACAGGCTCAAAATGGCCAGAAACAAATAACTTTCTTCTGAAACTCGTCAGTCTATTCTTGTTTTGAGAAATGAAGGTTATTCCATGCGAGAAATTGCCAAGAAACTGAAGATCTCGTGCAACGCTGTGTACTACTCCCTTCACAGAACAGTGCAAACTGGCTCTAACCAGAATAGAAAGAGGAGTGGGAGGCCCCGGTGCACAACTGAGCAAGAGGACAAATACATTAGAGTGTCTAGTTTGAAAAACAGACGCCTCACAGGTCCTCAATTGGCAGCTTCATTAAATAGTACCCGCAAAACGCCAGTCTCAACTTCAACAGTGAAGAGGCGACTCCGGGATGCTGACCTTCTAGGCAGAGTTGCAAAGAAAAAGCCATATCTCAGACTGGCCAATAAAAAGAAAAGATTAAGAACGGCAAAAGAACACACTGGACAGAGGAAGATTGGAAAAAAGTGTTATGGACAGACGAATCGAAGTTTGAGGTGTTCGGATCACAAAGAAGAACATTTGTGAGACGCAGACCAAATGAAAAGATGATGGAGGAGTGCTTGATGCCATCTGTCAAGCATGGTGGAGGCAATGTGATGGTCTGGGGGTGCTTTGGTGGTGGTAAATTGGGAGATTTGTACAGGGTAAAAGGGATCTTGAAGAAGGAAGGCTATCACTCCATTTCGCAACGCCATGTCATAACCTATGGATGGCGCTTGATGGAGCCAATTTCCTCCTACAACAGGACAATGACCCAAAGCACAGCTCCAAACTATGCAATAACTATTTATGGAAGAAGAAGTCAGTCGGTATTCTGTCTATAATGGAGTGGCCAGCACAGTCACCGGATCTCAACCCTATTGAGCTGTTGTGGGAGCAGCTTAACCGTATGGTACGTAAGAAGTGCCCATCAAGCCAATCCAACATGTGGGAGGTGCTTCAGGAAGCATGGGGTGAAATCTCTTCAGATTACCTCAAAAAAATTGACAGCTAGAATGCCAAAGGTCTGCAAGGCTGTAATTGCTGCAAATGGAGGATTCTTTGACGAAAGCAAAGTTTGAAGGACACAATTATTATTTCAATTAAAAATCATTATTTCTAACCTTGTCAATGACTACATTTCCTATTCATTTTGCTATATTTCCTATTCAAACTCATTTCATGTATGTTTTCATGGAAAACAAGGACATTTCTAAGCAACCCCAAACTTTTGAACGGTAGTGTAAGTATTCACACCCCTGAGTCAATACGTTAGAATCACCTTTCTGGGTAAGTCTCTAAGCACTTTGTACACCTAAATTGTACAATATGTGCACATTATTCTTTAAACAATTCTTCAAGCTCCCTCAAGTTGGTTGTTGATCATTGCTAGACAGCCATTTTCAAGTCTTGCCATATATTTTCTAGCCAATTTAAGTCAAAGCTGTAACTAGCCACTCATTTAGGTTAGTATTTTGGAGTAACTACAATGTTCTTAATCCATCCTCAGTTTTCTCCTGCCACAGCCGTTAAACGTTGTAACTGTTTGAAGGTCACCATTGGCCTCATGGTGAAATCCATGAGTAGTTTCCTTCCTCTCCGGCAACTGAGTTAGGAAGGACGCCTGTATCTTCGTAGTGACTGGGTGTATTGATACACCATCCAAAGTTTAATTAATAACTTCACCCTGCTTAAAGGGATATTCAATGTCTGCTTTTTATTTTATTTTTACCCATCTACCAATAGGTGCCCTTCTTTGCGAGGCATTGGAAAACCTCCCTGGTCTTTGTGGTTGAATCTGTGTTTGAAATTCATTGCTCGATTGAGGGACCTCACAGATAATTGCATGTGTGGGGTACAGAGATGAGGTAGTCATTCAAAAATCATGTTAAAACACTTATTGCACACAGAGTCCAGGCAACTTATTATGTGACTTGTTAAGCAAATTGTTACTCCTGAACTTATTTAGCCTTGCCTTAATAAAGGGGTTGAATACTTATTGACTCAAGACATTTCAGCTTTTCATTTTTAATTTAAATAAATAAATATATATATATATATATATATATATATATATATATATATATATAAATAGAAATTACATTATGGGGTATTGTGTGTTAGGCATTTTTTATTCAGGTTGTAACACAATAAAATGTGGAAAAAGTCAACGGGTGTGAATACTTTGTGAAGGCACTATCTATTTCCGTAGTTTAAAAAAAAGATTGTACTATAGGGCTTGTTTTGTAAGCCTACTCAACTGTATATCAAGGCCATGTGGCTTCAATATTTTTATGAAAGGACATAGGGAATACTAATAGTAGTAAAAAAGCTGTTGAAAATATGTTGATTTCCTGTGTTATTCCACAAACATTGTCTGTTAAATATGCTGTCAAACTACCCAGGCTTGCTTCTTCTGTACTCTGTAAGTACTTTTCATAGTTCCAATGAATGTGTGGCCTTAAATGGAAACTTGCATCTTGTGTTGAGTAGTCCGACTCTGTCCTTGATGCATTGGACACCTAACTGCAACTCTTGCTATTATTTTATACTATGTATGTATCTTTGAGACGCATCTCTTTACACACTCTCCCAACCCTTACTGGACACTTGATATGTAACAGTACCCCCGTGCTTTTCTAGTTAACCTGTAAATTCCCAAGCTGTTTTACAACTCAGTCAAATGGCCGTGCACCATGCATGCGCATTAACTGACCATGGAGGCATTTATGAAACCATCTTTTAGGGGTTTCCTGTGTTATTGAGGCCAAACACGTTTCTACGCAGAACATAGCACTGGCTTTCAACATGTGCAATAAATAAACACATAACCACTGCTGCCTTCAAAGTTCAATTTATTTTAGAGATCTTTTAAATATTAGACATTATACACATTCCCTGCCCTTAACTAATTAAAGAAGGGAATGGAAAAAGGTTTTACACTTGTTTCAATTGTCATTAATTATGTCTACACTCCACTGACCACAGGCTTGCTACAGGCTTATACAGTTATTGTACATCTCAAAAATAATAATAATCTTAAACAAACAAGTTACCTTTAGTGTGAAACAATATAAAAGTATAAAAAACATATTTTAAGTTGGGTAGGTAGTTTAATTCTTCTATACCTTAATACAGCAGAAGCTGTTTGTAAGTGCCAAATAATAATCAAGAACATTAAGCAAGGGTTATAATACACTATTTCCATGTTTGAGAAATGAGTGGCTGTAATTGGTATTGCTACAAAAGGGAACCCGGCAAACCAAACACATTGAACATTGACATCTCATATACAGTATTGGGATTTTAACTGTGGGAGACTGCAGTTGTATAAATCAAAAGGCGCAACTGTTGCGCAACTACCAGATGACGTTCAGGTTGCCGACGTCGGTGGAGAGGTCAGTTTTGGACGGGTAGACAACCTTGAGGTTGCCGTCAGGGTCCATGGTGCGAACCTGCTGGATGACCAGCTCTCCTGTGGTGGTACCATCTGAGGCGGTGTCTGGGGGTGTGTCTGACTCCCACTCTGATCCAGCCTCCTCTCTGTGCTCCAACGTAAACTTGTTCAGCTCCACCATTTTCTGAGAAGGGAACAGAGACAGATGTGTTAATTGCTGACCATTGGGACAATGTGGTTGAGGTCTATTTGAGGAAGGAACTATGTGGAAAGGAACTCCTAGAGCCCTCAAATTCAACTCTGGACCTCGAAGCCAGTTCCACTTTTTTTAATTGTCCCCTTCTAATCAGGGACTGATGTAAACCTGGGACACCAGGTGTGTGCAATTAATTATCAGGTAGAAAATAAAACCAGTAGGCTCCGGGGTAAGAATTGAATACCCCTGCCATAGAGGATGGTTGTTGAACTGAGATTTAAAGGGTGGATTGAAATCTGTACACATTAAATAGAAAAACAAAATAGATAATAAACTCAGCAAAAAAAGAAACGTCCCTTTTTCAGGACCCTGTCTTTCAAAGATAATTCGTAAAAATCCAAATAACTTCACAGATCTTCATTGCAAAGGGTTTAAACACTGTTTGCAATGCTTGTTCAACGAACCATAAACAATGAATGAAAATGCACCTGTGGAACGGTCGT